GCTGCTGCTGCTGCTGCGGCAACAACTCCCGCTCGTCAGCTCGCCACCACCCGCGACGACTCTGATCATCAGCAGCATCTCTCCGGCCAGGTCGATCCAGACTTTACCTTCCTCCGCCACGAGTACGACGCGCCAAACTTCTTCTTCAGCCATCCGCGTTCCAATGCGCTCTTGCGCCAGGATGCAGACAGTCATCTCGAAGACGAGGCGCCTCGGCTTTCAACCAGTCTCGACGCCGAGGATTCACTTGCACCACTCGAAACCGCTTCGTCAGCCCCTGCTCGTGCCGTCCGGGTGGCCGCCTCTCTAGTTTCGCTCCGACAGGACAGCATAGATCTCAGAAGCTCTCTTCAAACAGGAGCTACTCTGGACCACACTGCGCTCGTCAAGCAGTGTCGTCGTCTCGTCCTACGTGCCCACAGGATCCGGCCCAAGCTCGACGCAAGGCTAGCGCGCGACATCGCCTGCGAAACAGTCGCCGATTGCGCCGTCTACCTCATCGCTTCCGCACAACCCATCGCCGCCAGCCAGGTCCTGCGTCATCTTTTGGTCAAGCTCGGCTGGAGCCCTCGCTCCATCGCCATCATGGACTCGCCCTTGCATGCCCTACCTACCGTCGACTCTAGCCTCAGCTCGGACCACGGCGAGCATTCAAGCCGTTCTGTGTCTACAGCATCCACATCATCCGACTTGCCCCGCCTCGTCTTCGTCACCCAGCAGGCCATCGCTCAGCTCACCATGGCGCCATCTGCATCCAGCCCTCGTCCCGTTCGCGGCTTTCAATCACACCACCACCTCGACGCCGCCGTGTCTCTCCTCGCTGCCATGCACATCGCACACGTGCCCAGGACATCTTTGTCACAATCCGCCGTGCTCCGCGCCATGCTCGCAGCCGGTCACACTACACTCGCAGTTCATACCTACGCAGCAGAGGTCCGCGCGTGGTGGAAGGCCAACCGAGACGCCAGGCGTTCGCGCTCCTCAATGCGTCACCAGGCTGCGCTCATCGCCGAGACCGGCAAACCAAGCTCCCAGCTTTTGCGCGAGATCACCTCAGCCATGCGGCGCACCGAGGATATGCTCAGCCGCGTCCAGCCCGACCTATGGGCACAGCTTTCGCCTCGCGAGCAGCAGGCGCTCGGCGCAAAGCAGCTGGAGCACGCAGAGTGTCTGGTCGACTTGCTCCGCCTTGTGCGCCACGCCAAGCTTCCTCTGCCTCCGACGCCCAGTGCTTCCGAGATCGCCTGGATCCTCTCTGCCTGTTGCCGCTTCGAGACCACAATGATGCTCAATCAGCCTGCCATGCCGCTTGCTTCGACAGAAGGTCCCGCCGACGCTGCTCACAGACACAAACTCAACGGTGCGGCGCGAATCATCCGACACCATCTGCGCGAGTACATGAAGGCTTTGCCGGACGGACAGCCGCATGCAGGCGCACATGTCCTGGTCGACGGTGATCTTGTCGTCCGGCCTCCCATCAGTATCGCCGTCTACAACCAGCTCATCCACTACGCCCTCGCTGTCCTCAAGTCGCCGCCCATCTGCAAAGAGGTCTTCCAGCACATGACTCAGCAGCGCCAGCCCCCATTGCAGCCGGACGCCGTCACTTTCAACACCATCCTCCGTCAGGCCACCACGCAGCGCTACCAGTCGCTTGCTCGCGCAGTGCTTACCACCAGCCACGCCGAGAACTCGCAAGCAGCCGCAGAGCCGGACTCCATCGCCGAACGCCCAGTATCCCAGGCTTCCGCACCGGCCAAGGGCAAAGCTGCTGCACAAGATCTTCCTGCGGCCACATCGCCAGCCGCTGCCGACAGCCGACCTCTTCGACCCATCGTACAGCAGATCGACTCGGCGATCGCTCAGGCCGACACCTATCGTCTGGCGGCGCTGCTGCAGTACGTGACATCGTCTGGATTGTTCTTGAAGCGCTTCCGCCACGAGCCGGGCCACATTGGCGTCAAGGAGACCATCATGCGCATCTACCCTGTGCTCAACAAGAAGCGCCACTGGCACAGATTCACAGACGAGCAGGCACCAGTTGAGGCGTCGTCGCCACCNCCCTGTGCTCAACAAGAAGCGCCACTGGCACAGATTCACAGACGAGCAGGCACCAGTTGAGGCGTCGTCGCCACCGCAGCCCAGCTCGGGCAGCGGTCTGCGGCCCAAGGCCAATCGGGCGTCTCGCCATGCCATCCTGCATCCGCATGTGCTGACAGCTGCGCTCAACTTGGCATCCAAGGCGGGTAAGACGGGGCTGCTGCTGCGTGTGTGGCGCCTGATCAAGCGCACGAGTCTGCAAAGTGCCCTGCAGTCGTCATCTGTCGACGTCGCCAGCAAGCCGTGGAAGGTGCCCGTTGAGGCGGCCACGATCCTCATGCAGACTTTGGCCAGCGAGGCCGCGCGAGCTCCCAAGGCGGGGCAGCCCTCGCGACTGGATCGGCTTCACGCCTTCTCGGGACCGCGCGGAGCAGCAACGCGCAGGAAGCTGCGTATGGCGGCCAAGAAGGAGTATGCACGAGGCTGGAACATCCTTGCCTCGGTGCGCGGTCGGTCGCCATCGAGCAAGCTGCAAGCTGCGCCGCAGCGGCTTGATACAACCGCGGAGCAGAGCGAAGGTGTCCGATGGAGAGCAGCAAGGGTCCTTGCCAAACGCGAGTATGCCTTCCTCGTGCATCACTGGCAGATCTCGCGCCAACTGTCGAGCTGGCGTCGAAAGCGTCTGCAAGCTTGGCTGGACTCCGGAAGCAAGTCACCAACAGCTTGCACCGTTGGCGATATGCAGCGGCTGCAGCCGTGCCCGGACAGTCGGTTCTACGATGCGCTTCTGGGCGTCTTTGGCCGTCGTCCCGGCATGGCCCAACGCAGCAAGAGCAATGTCTCGCAGTCGACTGCCTTGGCACAGCTGCGACGTGGATTCGAGCAGGCCCAGCGCAAGGCGACACACCGCGAAACTGCCCATCTCGAAGGCGGACACTCCAGCAGCAAGGGTGGCGATCAACCGGTCTTCAGCAGCACAGTAGATTCGGCTTCCGACGCGGCACCTGTGGTCCAATTGGACGTATCGACGTGGACGACGACCGAGATGCTGGAGGCGGTGGTAGCGCGCGTGCAGTGGAACGCACACGGACGGTGGAGCGCGCTGAATCCGCATCCTGTGCTCGTGCGCGTGTTGCTCGACATGGAAGCTCTGGGGCTTGAGATTCCGGTTGGGTTCTGCTGGGTGCTTGCGCACTGTGCGCTTACCGCGCGCGATGAGGGCGCAGTGCAGATGCTCAGCAATCACGGGTCCAGAGCAGGCAGGCACGGACCCAGGTTCGCCAAGTTCAGAGCGGACAGGATCAAGACACGCGGTTTGCCTGTCAGCAGGCCCAACGTCGCCAGGGACGCTGCGAAGCACAAGCAGAAGGAGGAGGAGGAGTAGAGATCATCAACGCATTGCAATCTTATCGTATGCTCAGTTTTGGCGAGTGCGTGTGCGGCTGCGGCGCCGTTGTTCGTCGACGTTTTAGTGGATAGGAAATGCTCTTGCAAGCACAAGGCGGCGAAGAAGTGGCGGAATGAGCGCACGGCGAGCGTAGTGCGACGACACACGCGGGTCAGATTTGACAGGAACACTAAACATCGCCACTGCGCATGAGGATGAAGATTCGCACGACGCCGGCAGTTGAAGCCAAGAGTCCGAGGTCGCGCAAGGAGGATGTCGTCAAGCCGTCTGGCGCAACGGAGCGCGGAGGAAAGAGCACGTCGGCTTCGAGTGCACACTGGCGTCGCACCTTGATGCTCGATTCGATTCATGGCTCAACGCAAAAGCGGTCGAAGCAGCTTGGAACCGAATCAGACTCGAAACGCACTGCATTGCCACATCTTCATTCTGGAACTAGGTGCGGTGTGTCCACGATGGGAGCGCTTCTCGCGACGGATCGGCGCTTTTTTGCCACAGGTAGGGCTAGTAGCCCTTGTCTGGATCGACGGCGCCAATGCAGTCGTGCCAAGATCCCTGCTCGATGCGGGCTAGATTCTGCCTGATCCTCTCGCCGAGCACCTGGGGGACGATGCGCATGGGTACAGCCGAGTGCGGCGTGACAAGCAGTTTTCCCTCGCCCACCAGCCTCTGCACCTCCTCCTTCTGTTGCGTGTCGAGCTCGGACTGGTCCAGCACGTCGACAGCAGCCTTTAGTCCGGAGCGGATGGCGCTGATGAGTGCAGGCGTATGCACCACCTCTCCCCTCGCCACATTGACCAACAGCGCACCGCGGCGCAGTCGGGCCAACATGGCGTGGTTGCCCAGATGCATCGTTGTGGCCGTGAGTGGACATGCCAGCACCACGACATCTGCCTTTTCCCACTCTGGAGCCGAAGCAGAATCGTAGGTCGAAACCACACATCCAAGAGGAAGCAGCATCTTGACGAGTGCCTTGGCGATAGTGCCGTTGCCCACAACGACCACCTGCTTTCCCTGCAGCGTGTCGACGCGCGTCGTGTCGGGCGGGGGCTGCAGATGCAGGCCGCGCATGATGCTCAGAACCAGCGCCAGAGTATGTTCCGCCACCACGCCCGCATAACAACCCTGCACGCTCCGATGTCAGCCTCTGCTTCACCACTCTCGGACAGGGGGAGGCGACTTACTTTGGCACACGACCACTGAATCCTACCGCGCGTGGCACGGATGATGGGCATGTAGTCATCGACACCCGTCATGGGCAGCTGCATCCACTTGACATTGCTCCCCTCGAGCAATCGTGCGACCTCGGGAGCCGTGTTGCCCTGCGCGATGTTGGGAAGCCACACCAGCGCGTCGGTGGCTGCATCCACGTGTCGAGCGACGCGAATCGACGCCGGCAGGGTCGCGATGAGCGAGTCGATGTCCAGGCAGCACCGCTCGGGCTCAGCAGGTAGAAAGGCGACTGTAACCATGGTCGACGACCATCCTAGCTCAAGGTACACAAGCGGAGCTCGATCTACTTATACCGTCCTTCTGGCCAGAGGCAGCGCTGCGGCAAATGAAGCATGACATCGCGTTGCCCCACCATGTCAATGACTCGTACCAGGAGGGCAGCTTGCCACCGTGCGACATTTCCCGTCCCGCCTTTCATTCTCACAACAATGCCCGTTCATATTCCCACACCCGCCCCGCGTGTAGCACTGCAACCGCCCTCACATGAACCGGCTCCCCACACAAACACGCAAACACGCAAACACACAAACAGTACAACGAATGAAATTACCCGCCCGGTGGGGGAGGTGCCGGCCTATGAAGAGGCGGTGGTGGAGCTCATGCCTGCAATCGCCGAATTGACCAGCGCCCAGTCCTTGGTATCTCCGTCGATGCTCCACATGCTGATGCCGCCAATGGCTGCGGCACTGGCAAAGGCGCCCTTGTCGAAAGTGGAGCTGGTATCGTCGTAGCTGACGACCCTGCTTCCATCGGAGAGGAAGGGAGTATCGGAGCAGTCGTCCCAGTACTTTGTAAACCCGCCCGCGCCATCGTACAGGCCATCTGCGCCCTTCTTGAGCGCGCCCTGCTGCACGAGCATGTTGAAGTTGATCTGACCCGATCCCGAGCTTCCATCGAGACTCGACAGCCCCACCGCTCTTGTCCTGAGCGTCTTCTTGCTGCTTGTATTGATGTAGCCATAGGATGGGATGCCCAGCAGGATCTTGTCGCGCGGCATACCTGCAGCACTCCACTGCTTGACTCCCGCCGCGGCACTCGCACCGGGCTGGGTCGAGTTGCCACACAGATTCGCCAGCGGCGCGTTCGGACCTGGCACGCTCGAGCTGCCCCAGACATCGTAGTTCATGATCATGACGTAGTCCATCGCCGCCGCCGCCCTTGCAACGCTCTGCACCGGCTGCCCGTTGCTCGCCATCCACGGATTGTGGCTCACCGCGCCTGTGATCAACGCGCCCTGAGGCAATGCTGCCCGGAGCTCGGTGAGGAACGTCTGGAAATTGGCCGTATCGCTCGCATCGAGCTGATTGCCCGCTCCCGTCTGACCGGGATACTCCCAGTCCAGATCAATCCCATCGAGCCCGTACTGGTTGTACACCTTGAGGATGTTGGTGATAAACGTCTTGCGCGACGCCGACGTTCGCACCGCCGGAGAAAAGTAGGTCGAGCCACCCCAACCTCCGATCGACAGCAGCGCCTTGGTGTTGCCCGCCTTGCACGCCTTGACAAACGACCGCAACAGCCCGCCTGACGGGTCGGTGGGGATGGACAGATCGAACTGCGCTGTGGGCAGCGCAAAGGCGTAGTTGAGCATGTCGAACTTGGTGAAGTCGATCTGCGTGGGTGGGAAGTTGGAGTTGACCCAGTCGGGCCAGTATCCAGCCATGACCTTGTTGGTGGCCGTCTTGGTGTCGGCGTCAACTGTGGAGCTGGGAGTGGGCGCACTGGTGGTGGTCGACGAAGACGACTGGGTGGAAGTGGGTGCTTTGCACGATCCGGCCTGGCGCTTTTTGGTAGAAGCTCGACGACGACGCACACGAGAAGGGACTGCCCTCCGCTTCCTGCCTTGGCTGCCGACAAGCACCTGCCAAATGGACCGCCTACCCGCACCCTGTTGTGTTGTCAAGTCGGCTCGATCCGCACGGAATCTTAGCCCTCGACTTGGCTCCTCGATGCTCGGTCCGGATGTCGTCGCTGTGCTGCCCACATGCGACACCTGGACCGTTGGAAATGCATCCTGCGCTGCTGTGACCGAAGCCATGAGACTGGCCATGGCCAGCACGAGTGGGACCAACTTCATCGTTGCTGTCGTGCAAAAAGGAATGTGGTGTGGTGTCCTGCACCGGGTCGAAACGGTAAAACGAGTTGTCCCTCGATCGACGAGTGGACTTGGAGGAGGAAAGACCGGTTTCCTCAAAGCTTGCCCTTTTAAGCAATGCGACTCGTTGGTGGAAAGACCGGATCCGATCAACAGATCCAGGAAAGAAGAAGGAGAAGAAAAGAGTGGCCAACGCAGTTGGACGTGATCCGCAATCGCAAAAAGATGGATGAGATGGATGAAGCAAAGCAAGCTCGAGCTAGCGTCGAGGAGCTTAACTCTCGAGATCCTATAGCCTGGGATCTCTCTCTGCTGCGCCGAGCTACGCCGAGCTAAGTTTGGCTCTGCAACCCAAACTTCTCCCGAGCCTGTTCAGTGCCAAAGTCACCGCACCGCCTCTGAGCCTCAGGCTGGGGCTCTGCAGGCGTCGGTTTGCCGGGCGAGATGTTGTGAACCTCACGGGCCCGACTAGAAGTTGGATTGCGCCTCACGCAGCCAAGCAGTCGCCAAGACAGCCGCCAAGCAGCGGAAGTGGGGTTGAGGGGTTGGCGGAAGGCGCAACGGCGAGCGCTTAAAGTTTCGACTGTGGATCGAGACATGTCAGATGTCGCGCATGCTGGGGCGATGGCGGAAAATCGTGCTTACCGGTGCATGTGGCTCTAGCTAACGAACGCCCAGCTGATCAGCCGAGCGCATTGCATGCATCTTCGAGGGGCTGTAGGTGACGGCCTATACAAAGGGCCGATCGTCGCAAACGCCCAGCGAGCGGCACAAAGGGGAGGGGCAAGATCAACAGCATGCATGGGCTGCGCAGCTGCGCAGCTGGACAGCCTCGCGTCGATCCGACTCCGACTCAAGAATTTTGGGATGAGAATGTCAGATCTCTGTCGCTACCAGTGTTGAGGTTTTTGGTGCAAAAGCTGGGCGCAATTCACGCTGTTTTGTCGCCGCGTTGCCGCCCGCCTTTCACGCGAAACACTGCTGAGCGCTCGCTGGATGTGGCGATGGCCGTGTGCAGCTTCGCCACCAGCGCCATGAGCTTGCAAAGTGTGAGCACGATGAATCGTCGGTTCGTCAGCTCGTATCCGCCTGCATAGTACGCATGGTCCCATCGACATGCTGGCTTGCTTTTGGCAACGAGCAAAGGGTGACGAGGTGTTGGGGCCAAGCGGCGAGGTAAATACGCACAAAGCGAGGAAGCGCAGCCGGAGCCAGGCGCCCATCCCCCGCACCGCCAACACGAGGCGCCGCAGACAGTCAGGGTTCGATCGCCGAATCCAATCGCCACTGCGGTCCCCTTCGGCCATGACAGAGCGATACCAGCAGGCGTGCCGCAAGCGAGGCGCAAACCCGCAGGCCGATGCCGATCGTGTGTCGATCCTGCAGCGTGCTCCCCCGCTCTTGGCTCGCCAGACATGCATGGCGTGAGACAGCAGTGCAAGCGTCGAGGTTGGTGTGGATGGACGTGTGGCGAGTGGGGTGGCATCCAAAGGCAGACACAGTGGCCGGCGATGCAGTAGCAAAGGTCGAGCGTGAAATGCACGTCACCGCCAAATTAATGCTCCCAATTTTGTGCGGCGCCGCAAACGGCAGTCTTTGCTTTCTCTCTCGCTATTTAGCGCCGATGAGTGGCCACCGCACGCCCAACAAAGCAAAACAGGGCAGCAGAGCCACTATCCTGGAGCCTCCTGTCCTACGCACGCCATGACAAACACGCCGTCCACGTTTGGCTCCCGTCTGGCTCGCATCCGCATCCCCTTCATCCCACCACCTTCCTCCGTGCCCCGCACCACCATCGCCGCCCTCCTTTGCACACGCTCCGCAGTGCAATCGGTGCGCGCCCACTCTTCACCGTACATGCGCATCACCCGCATCGTGTGAGCTGCCAACAACCCACCACCACTAGATCACGCATACACCCATCCCCCACCCTCGCAGCCATGTCCACATCGCTTCCCTTTCCCGGACAGTCGGCGCAGGCTGGCGACTACGCCGCCGAACTCAAGATCGACCTCCCCCGCAACGCCAACGCCGCCAAGGACGACCCCTCTCACCATGCTTCCGCAGCCGCATCACCTGCTCACCGTCGCCAGAGCTCGTCGCAGCCCACGGCCGAAAAGTCGGCTTCCGCCCATCCTGCAGGCTGGCAGCACCACCCGCGCCAGCCCGGGCCCCACTCGGAATCCTACTTTCCCGGCTCCGTATCGGCAGGCGGCGCATCAAAGACGCCCGGCAGCTTCTCCATGCGCGGTCATGGTCGTGCACAGAGCAGCTCCGGCAGCGCCTTCCCGCACCCGATGAGCCTCAACACCGGCGCTGCTCCTCCTCCCCCTCCCAACGTCGACGGCGCATCGCTCCAGTCCGCCTTTGGCACCGCCTCGCACCACGCTGGCCCGAGCAGCGCGAGCCAGCTCAGCCTCGCCAACCACCCGGCCATGCACGGCCTCGGCATGGGCACCACCGCCGGCTTCAGCGCCGGTCCGCCCAGCCCCAGCACGCTCACCGACGTCATCCTCGGCCTCCACAACACCTTCTACTCGTGCAAGCGCAAGCCCGAGGAGGTCAAGCACATGGTCGAGCGATACTACGAAAAGGGCGCCGTCTTCGAGTCGCCCCTCCTCTCGGCGCACGGCAGGAACCAGATCGCCAACCAGTTCATCATGGCCTTTGCGCTGCCCGGCATGGACGTCCAGTCCGAGCTGCGCGACGTCATCTGCTCCGACTTTGAGTTTGACGGCACGCGCGCAGGCATCATTGACCACACCATCACCGTCACCTTGCTCCCCGCGCTCTTTGGCTCCTCCACGCCCAAGCCCACGCCGGACCCGGGTGCGAGCGACGTCAACCGCACGCCGCGCGCCTCGTATCCGTACTCGGCGTCGGCGTCGGCCTACCCCATGACGCCGCATCCGTTCATCGACTATGCGGCCAACAGCGCCTACTCGCGCGTCGCCAGCCATCCGCACAGCCCCACGACTCCGTTTAGCATCTCGAGCATCTGGGGCGGCTCGCGACCGCACACGCCCGGTCATGCTCCCAACGCACCCAGCGGCATCCGTCCGCTCTCGGCGCACGCCACCAACACTCCGCCGGGCGTCAATGGCGACGACCCCGAAGCGGCCGGTGCCTCGGCGCATCCGTTCGGCAGCTTGACCAACGGCACCCATGCGCACCACTACATTGACGCCGAGCTGGTGCAGCAGCAGCTGGCGGCGCGACCGGCCATCCCTGCCGATGCGCTCACGCCACACTGGACGAGCGAGGGGCTGGGCAGGGCGACGCTGCGTACGCTGCTCTGGTCGCTCTTCCATCCCCGCGCGGTGCTCAGGCATCTGTGCAGCATCCAGCTGCGCGTCATGAGTCGGCTCGAGTTCAACGATGCCGGCCTCATCGTGCGCCACGAAGACACCTGGGGCCTGCGCGAGACGATCGAGGGCGTGATTCCGTTTGCGTCGCTCATCTACTCGATCGAGCGTCGCCTCGTCGGATTCCTCGTCTCCTGGGCCATCGCCAAGGGCTTCAAGATCTCGTCGGCGCTGCTGCGAAAGGCCATCCCTGGGGCATCCACCGAGTCCGCTCTCGAGGCGCACTCGAGCTCGAGCCAGTATCAGGTGAGCCAGCAGGAGGCCGAGGCCATGTTTACGCATCCGCACATGCACCAGGGCAGGACGGGGCGTGAGTTCCAGACCATCTCGCGCTCGCGTGCCCCCTCGCCGAGTCGCTTCCGCTTTGGTGCACCTGCGACCGAGTCGCGCACTGTGACGGGCACACGATCGCGCGCCCGCTCGCTCGTAGGCGGCCACTCGATCGCCAGCTCGCGCGCTATGTCCACCGACAACCTCGCACAGCACTTTGCCTCCGCTCATGTGCCGCAGTCGGCTTCGGCGGGGCTCGAGTCTAGGAGGTCGGCCGATCTGCCTCCGGACTCGAGCGCAAAGTTCCGCGAACGCACCGCCAAGCGCATCGACGGCGCCCGCACCACCAGCACCAACTCGGCTCCACCATCCACGCTCGGCGTCGGATCGGGCGCGTACGGCTTTGGCGCACAGGATGCTGCCAACGGCGCAGACTACGCACAGTCCGGTCCGGCCGCCAACCTGGTCAACATGTGGGAGCATTTTTCGGCCCAGTCTCGCCCTCACTCCAAGGCGGCGTCGGTGGTGTCGAATGACGATTCGCGCGGTACTCTGCGTGCTCCCGACCAGGACCCGCAGTAGTGGACCGAGCAACAGCTCACAAGCATTAGCCAGCATACCATTCTGTATTCACTTCTAGGAATCGCAGCATATACACTAGACATATCGCCGAACCGTCGGATCATTTGAGCTGAGATGGTGGTGACCAACGTGATCGATCGGCGCAGCAGAGGGCGAGAGAGCAACGGCGATTCGGACTTTAGCAGCGCGGCAAATCGGGCGAGGGCGCTTCTTGGATTTGTGCGTCACTCTAATTTTACTCAGCACCGATCGACGCACGGGCGCACTCTCTGCCGTTCCAAGTCGAATGGGCGCGCCGCTGCTGAGCCGCCCGCCTCCACGTCCCGAAAGGCGGTTCTCTTCTTCCCTCCTTCCTTGTGTCCTCACCCTCATCATCCCCATCATTCGCACACACACACACGCGCAGATCAACTTCAGTCTCATCGCCACCTCGCTCCGTCAACACATCCACACACGAGGAACGAAATCGACCGCTGCTTCCCTCCGGCCGCGCGCTGCACACATCCGCAACCATGGCGGCAGACGACATGAAGGTCGACCAGCCCGAGCAGGCCATCGACGAGGGCCTCTACAGCCGTCAGCTCTACGTGCTCGGTCACGATGCCATGAAGCGCATGGCCGCTAGCAACGTGCTCGTCGTCGGTCTCCGCGGCCTCGGCGCAGAGATCGCAAAGAACGTCGCTCTCGCCGGCGTCAAGAGCATCACCATCTTCGACCCGACCCCGGTCTCCATCTCCGACCTCAGCACACAGTTCTTCCTCCGCCCCGAGGATGCCGCCGCCGCCGTCCGCAGGGATCACGCCACCCAACCTCGCCTCGCCGAACTCAACACCTACGTTCCCATCCGCGTGCTCGAAGAGTCCGAGCTCACCAAGGACGTGCTTGCGCGCTTCCAGGTCGTCGCCATGACCGACGCCCTCTACGCAGAGCAGCTGCGCATCAACGACCTCACCCACGCCACGTCCACCCACTTCATCGGCGCCGAGGTTCGCGGTCTCTTTGGCTCCGTGTTCAACGACTTTGGCCCCGACTTCCTCTGCAACGATCCCACGGGCGAGCAGCCGCTGTCGGGCATGATCGTCTCCATCGCCGGCGAGGACGAGGAGGGTCTCGTCACCACGCTCGACGAGACGCGCCACGGCCTCGAGGACGGCGACTACGTCACCTTCACCGAGGTGCAGGGCATGGACGCCATCAACGGCTGCCAGCCGCGCAAGGTCACCGTCAAGGGCCCCTACACCTTCACCATCGGCAGCACAAAGGGCCTCGGCGAGTACAAGCGCGGCGGCATCTTTAAACAGGTCAAGATGCCCAAGCAAATCGCCTTCAAGTCGCTGCGCGAGAGCACCGCCCAGCCAGAGATGCTCATCGCCGACTTTGCCAAGTTCGACCGCCCCGCCGCCCTCCACGCCGGCTTCCAGGCGCTCTCGCAGTTCCAGCAGGCAAACGGCCGTCTGCCGCGTCCGCGTAACGCCGAGGACGCCGACCAGGTGCTCGAACTCACCAAGCGCATCTTCCAGGCTTCGGGCCAGGACGCCGCCGATCTGCCCGAAAATGTGGTGCGCGAGCTCGCCTTCCAGGCGCAGGGTGACGTCTCGCCCATGGTGGCCTACGTCGGCGGCTTTGTGGCGCAGGAAGTGCTCAAGGCGTGCAGCGGCAAGTTCCACCCGCTCGTGCAGCACCTCTACGTCGACTCGCTCGAGTCGCTCCCCGACTCGGTGCCCGGCCTGCCCGAGAGCGAGTTTGCGCCCGTCAATTCGAGGTACGACGGCCAGATCGCCGTGCTCGGCCGCACGTTCCAGGACAAGATCGCCAATGCGCGTCAATTCCTGGTGGGCTCGGGCGCGATCGGATGCGAGATGCTCAAGAACTGGAGCATGATGGGCCTGGGCAGCGGGCCCGACGGCATCATCCACGTCACCGACATGGACACCATCGAAAAGTCGAACCTCAACCGTCAGTTCCTCTTCCGCTCCAAGGACGTCGGCCACTTCAAGGCGGACACGGCGGCGGCGGCGGTGGCCGAGATGAATCCGGACCTCAAGGGCAAGATCCACAGCCACCAGAACCGCGTGGGTCCCGAGACCGAGGACGTGTACGGCGACGAGTTCTTCGCGTCGCTCACCGGCGTCACCAACGCGCTGGACAACGTGCAGGCACGCCAGTACATGGACCGACGCTGCGTGTACTACGAGAAGCCGCTGCTCGAGTCGGGCACGCTGGGCACCAAGGCCAACACGCAGGTGGTGGTGCCGCACCTCACCGAGTCGTACTCGTCGTCGCAGGATCCGCCCGAGAAGTCGATCCCCGTGTGCACGCTCAAGAACTTCCCCAATGCGATCGAGCACACGATCCAGTGGGCGCGCGAGCAGTTTGACGAGCTCTTCCTCAAGCCCGCCGAGAACGTCAACGCCTACCTGAGCCAGCCGGACTACATTGAGACCACGCTCAAGTCGGGTTCGGGCGCCAAGGAGCAGCTGGACCAGATCAAGCAGTACCTGGTGGACGAGCGGCCCAAGACGTTTGAGCAGTGCATCTACTGGGCGCGCATGCGCTTCGAGGAGAACTACAGCAACGTCATCCGCCAGCTGCTGCACTCGCTGCCTGCGGATGCGGTCACGTCGAGCGGCCAGCCGTTCTGGTCGGGCCCCAAGCGTGCGCCCAAGCCGTTGACGTTCAACGTCGACGATCCGATGCACCTCGAGTACGTGATGAGCGGTGCGCTGCTGCACGCCGAGAACTACGGCCTCAAGGGCGAGGCGGACGCAGCGTTGTTCCGCAAGGTGCTCGGGTCGATGACGGTGCCCGAGTTCGTGCCCAAGGACAACGTCAAGATCCAGGTGAACGACAACGAGGCGGTCAACAACGCCGGGAGCGGAGGCGATGGCGATCTGACCGACATCACGAGCAGCCTGCCCGAGGCGTCGTCGCTCGCCGGCTTCCGACTGCAGCCGATCGAGATGGAGAAGGACGACGACACGAACCACCACATGGACTTTATCACCGCCGCGTCCAACCTGCGCGCGACCAACTACGGCATCTCGCCCGCCGACAAGCACCAGACCAAGGGTATCGCGGGCAAGATCATCCCTGCGATCGCCACGACGACCGCTCTTGCTACGGGGCTGGTCAACCTGGAGCTGTACAAGCTGCTGGACGAGAAGAAGACGATCGAGGCGTATTCGAACGCGTTTGTCAACCTTGCGCTGCCGTTCATTGCGTTCAGCGACCCGATCGCAGCGCCGAAGCTCAAGTACAACGACACCGAGTGGACGCTCTGGTCGCGCTTCAAGGTGGAGCGCGACGTGACGCTGCAGGAGTTCCTCGAGATTTTTGAGAACGAGCACGGCCTCGAGGTCTCGATGCTCAGCTCGGGCGTCTCGATGCTCTTTTCGGCCTTCTTGCCCGCCAAGAAGCGCGAGGAGCGGCTCAAGATGAACATGTCGACGCTCATCGAGACGGTCTCCAAGAAGCCCATCCCGGCGCACGCGCACTGGGTGATTGTCGAGATCATGGCCGACGACCGCGAGGGCGAGGATGTCGAGGTGCCCTTTGTCGCCGTCAAGGTCAAGTAAGACCCTCGCGCTCACACTTTTTCCGATTCGGGTTGGTTTGTTCTTGTCTAGAGCCCAGAAATGCCATGATTCGATGCCATGCTCGTCGGTTGCGTCAGGGCTTTGTCCGAAAGCAGAGCAGGGCAGGCGAAGATGCTGTGGTGCTGGGCTTCAAATTGTTAGATCGGAAAGTGGAGATGTGACGGTGTTGTTGTGGAGAAGAGCCGGCGCAGGGTCGCAGGGAGGCACAGGTCACGCGCGCCGGCTGGGGAAACGCGCGTGTTGGAAATCGCAGAGCTGCCCAAAACGGAAAACCAAAACATGGCCCTTCCGCCCTTCCGCCCTTCCACCCGCCAGCCTGTCCGCCTCGACGCTCCGATATCCGAAGGCGAGAGAGAATCGAAACGAGAGAGACAGCGGCCCTGCATCCCTACCTCATCACTACCTCTCATCCTCCCCATCTTACTTAGGTATCGCATAATCACCAACCTACCACTTTAGGTCTGCTCTGCTCTGCTCTGCTGTGCGCTGGCAGCCCTGCATCGCTTCCGATTCGTGCTACCAGCTGCCGGCATTTCTTCTTTCACTTCGTCACCCACAGCAGCACGCTAGGCAGCCCGGAGCCATACAGGGGGCGCATTCGGAGCAGCATGTCTTCGCCATCTGCGTTTGCGCTCGCCGAGCAGCAGGAGCACATCATCGCACCAGACGATTCGGACTTCCTCGACTCGGACGCCGAGGGCACCCCGCATCCGGACGACCACCTCATCGAGTCGGCCGTGCTCCAAGATGTTCCCGGCGCTGCTTCCTCCTCCTCATCACCCGCGAGACGTGCGCGCTCAGCCAAGGGCAAGCTGTGGCCGGCGCATCCGCTCATCCGCATCCACAAGCGGCTGTGGTTCACCTGGTTCGACGCCTCGCTGCCCAACGAGGACGAGCTCAACCTCGACGCGGGCCACGGCGCGGCGTGGACCAACTTTGACGACGGCGAGGTGAGCAAGTACGTCGACGCGGCCGAGACCAAGCCGGCACGGCTGCACTGGTTCAACATCGACCACGACCTCGTGTACCTGAGCTTCTGGTTCGACTGGGGCCCGTTGAACGTCGGCATGTTCTACCGCTTCTGCCTGCACGTGCACCACATGCTCACGGATCCGGACATGCAGGATGCGACGCTCGTGCTCTACACCACGCACGCGCCCGCGCAAAAGGCGAATGCGGCGCTGCTCGCCACGCTGTACGCCATGATCATCGGCAAGGTCTCGCCCGCCGACGCCTTCTATCCGATCTCGGAGCTCGAGTTCAAGCCGTTCCGCGACGCAGGCTACGGGCGCGCCGACTACAACCTCTCGATCCAGGACGTGCTGTACGGCGTGCAGCGCGCCATCAACCACGGCCTGCTCGACCTCACCACGTTCAACCTGGACGAGTACGAAAAGTACGAGCAGGTGCACAACGGCGACTGGAACTGGATCACGCCCAACTTTATCGCCTTTGCCTCGCCCAACGACCGCACGTACGTCGAGGCCCTCCGCACGGGCGATGGCCGTCTGCCCTCCAACTACAGCTTCCGCCCACCCGGGGAGGACAAGCTGTTCGGCCGCACCATCCGCTACTTTAAGGAGCGCGGCGTCCAGCTCGTGGTGCGCCTCAACAATCCGCTGTACGACCGCGACGCCTTCGTGCACGCGGGCATCCAGCACGCCGACATGTACTTTGACGACGGCTCCAATCCGACCGACGACATCCTCGCCGACTTTATCGCGCGCGCCGACGAGGTGATTCGCAACGACGGCGTCGTCGCTGTTCACTGCAAGGCGGGCCTCGGCCGCACGGGCGTGCTGATCGGCGCATACCTCGTTTGGAAGCACGGCTTTAGTGCGGGCGAGGCGATTGGGTTCATGCGCTTCATGCGGCCCGGCTGCGTGGTGGGGCCGCAGCAGCACTTCATGTACCAGAACTTTGTCGAGTGGGTCAAGTGGGGGGTGCGCGACCAGGCGCTCGCCGACGCGCGCAAGATGCTCGCCGAAGAAAAGGCACGGCTCGAGGCGCAGTACAAGCCGAGCACGCCGCCGTCGACGACACGCGCGGTCAAGCGGCGTGCGGCCGGGTCGGACGCCGCCAAGGTGGCGGGCGACGAGAGTGTGGCCGACGAGCACGAGGGATCGGATACGGATGCCGAGGAGCACGACGAGGCGGCGCGGCCGCGGCAGAAGCACAAGCGGGAGGCGGACGAGGCGCCGGTCACGCCGCGTGCACAGCGCGGCGGGTCGCGCGCCGTGCCTGCGTCGGCGGCACCAGGAGTCAAGCCGGCACCATGTGTGGGGCAGCCGCGCAAGTCGCCGTCGCCATCGCGCAAGCGGCCGGCCATCCAGGCGCCCGCAACCGTGGCGCGGCTGGAGCTCAACACGCGCCGCTACCCGACGGGCGCCTCGTCGTTCAGCCAGCACCTGCTGCGTGCCACGAACGCCGTGCACGTCGATGCCGATTCGGACGCGGAAGAAAACGCCTCTCTCGACGCGTGTGCTGCGGGTGGGAGCACAGCGGGCGTGCTGGTCGAAGCGCGCATCAACGTAGCCACTCCCCTGCGCGCGTCGCCCAAGGCGGCGGTGGGGACGCCGTCTCCCGTCGCTCGCGTACGAGGCTTCGAGCGTCCGCGCGCCAGCACTGTCGGCAGCATCGCCACGCCGATTCGCACCTCGAGCCGCAGTGCGAGCCCCGCCAGCCCGGGTCGGGACGTGGTTCGGGCCTCGCCGGGCATTCGCGATCGGTACGGCCTGCGCGACAGCAAGAGTCCGCCTCCGGCCACGCCGCCGACGCTGCGCACCTCGCGCCACGCGAGCCCGGTCAAGATCGCGCCGCTCGTCGCGCGCGTCACGGACGCCGAGGTGCTGGGTGTGCTCGCGTGCATCCCGCAGACCGACCGCGCCTCGCCGCCCAAGCCTGCGCCGAAGCCCGTGGCTGCGGTGGCGGATGAGAATGCCATCCGCGCACCCGTGACCGCACCTAAGGTGCTGCGCACCGTCCGGTCCAAGCCCACGCTTACCGCTTCGGCCGCCCCTGGTGTTCGACGTGGAGTGGTGGCAGGGGCTCGCAGTGTATCTGCCAAGACAGCTGCTGCGCCGGTGGTACGCACGGTGCGCGCACAGAAGAGCACCGCCGACCTGCGCACTGCCGCGCCCGCCTCACGCAGCGTCAGCAGCTCGAGCACGTCGAGCACCGCCGCCACCGTCTCGCGCGGGGGCAGCCGTCTCACCGCACCGACGGCGGCGAGTGCAGCGCGTGCAGCAGCAGCCGCGGCGCAGCGTGCCAAAGTCGCGCCTCCAGCAGCAGCAGCAGCGGGTGGGGTGAGGAAGGTGTCGGTGCTGAGGCCGCAGCCTGTGCGCAGGAGAAGGAGCAGCACGGGCCAGGCGGATGTAGATCTTCAGTAGGCCCAATCGTATCGCCTTTTGCAGTGGTTGGGGTTTTCTTTCTCGTGCCAAGTATGTGTGTGTCTGTGTGAATATTTCCGATGGTGTGCGTCGGGATTAGAGTGTTGGCGCGCGCGGTATGGGAGTGGGGGCCGGTTTTACCCCGCACCTTTGGCGCACTGACCATATAAAGCCCGCCCACCTTTTCCGACCTCAGCCTCTTTTCCCCATTGCCTCGCCATCCTCCGAAGATGTCACGACTTTCGAACCGGGTGTGTATCGTAACGGGGGGTATGCGGGGGTTCGGAGCGTCGATTGTGTCGCTCTTTGCCTCGCACGGTGCCCGGATCCTGGTGCTTGACCTCCTCACTCCCTCGGCGGGGTACTATACGCCGAGCCCCGACGCTACCTCCCTTACGCCCTCCTCTGCCACAACAAACATCTACGCAGTAGCTGCGGACATTACATCTCGAGACTCGTGGGTGTCGGCGCTGGCGACGGTCAAGGAGCTGTGGGGGGCGGTGCCGGACGTGGTGGTGAATAACGCAGGCTGGACCTACTCGAACAAGCCGACGCTCGACGTGACCGACGCAGACTTCGACCGCGTGTTTGCGATCAATGTCAAGTCGGTCTTTCTCAGCACCGACGTTGTGCTCCCCGCCATGCTCGAGGCCCAACTGGACGACGCCGTGTTCGTCAATGTCTCCAGCACCGCCGCTATCCGTCCGCGACCCAAACTGGTCTGGTGTAAGTTTCCTTCCCCCCCTCACAACGACCCTGCCACCAATGAAGTTTGGTACTGACATGAATGCGAGGCGGGGCAAATAGATAATGCATCCAAAGGCGCTGTGAGTACAGCGACCAAGGCGCTCGCCGTCGAATACGCCCCACACAAGGTCCGATTCAACACCGTCTCTCCCGTCGCTGGCAACACCCCCCTGTAAGTTGCCCTAACCCCAATTGCCCAACCGTGCTCACTCAACAAAACCTAACCCCTTCCCTTGCGCGCCTTGGATAGCTTGTCGAAATTCGCCGGCTCAGCAGAGGCAGGCGATACAATGTCGCCGCACCAACTGGCGCAGTTCCACGCCTCGATCCCCATCGGCCGTCTCTCCGAGGGAAGCGACATTGCAAACGCCTGTCTGTTCCTCGCCGACGCCGCCTCCAACTTCATCACAGGCATCGACATTCCCGTCGACGGCGGTCGCTGCGTCTAGGCCAAAAAAAAAAAAAAA